GAGGCAGAGGAACAGCTGGAGCCTGTTCCCAGTGTGTGCATGCGCAGAGCTGCCGGAAGACTAGAACAACTAAGGAAGCAGGGTCGATTTAAGAATAAAGCCACACCTTGGAAGTGATTGGCCCCTCCCATAGGAAACCCAAATGGGGAGTTGGCTTTTGCAGGAAACAATTCGGTCATTCGACTATGTCAAGAGAGAAAAGTTTTGTTTGTAATTATAAGACACTCTATGCCAAGTTTGCCTTGCCCTGCAGTTGGGAACTAGTTATCTGGCAATGTTCCAAACGAGATAAGGTGTGTGTATATAAGCATTCCTCTGAAAGACTGTTTGCTAAGCCTTTCTGACTGTGAATGAAAGGAATTCACAGTCGTGTAAATAAAAAAGGTTTTGCAGGGGCCAAGACTTTGCTTTTTGCTTTCTAAGGAAGCCTAGGGCAGAACAGTAGCCAAAACAGTAAGATTTTCCTGTGGGAACAAAGGACATTCTCACAGGTGGCTGGCCAGAGGAGGAGCGAAGTAACCAAGCAACCAACCAGCAACTGGATTGGACAGTGTAACCAGTGACCTGGTGGGGAGGGAAAGGGAAAACTCTTAATTGGGTGAAAGCCACAAGAACTTTTAGAGTCAGTTGCACCAATAAGATGTATCCAATAAAACACATGAATGCCATCAAAAGCTAGCTTTGGGCCCCATCCAAGCTGAGAAACGGGTCTTAGCCAGACGTTATACTGACCTCTTCTGCCTGCCTGTTGGTCTTCAGTTTGTCTTTCTGCTTTTTCATATAGTCGGCATTGAAATGGGCAAAGGCGTACTCCACCAGTGCAGCGAAGACGAAGACGTAACAGATCCAGAAGTAGACGTCCAACGCTTTTATGGCCGAAGCCCTAGGAAGGGAAGAACGAGCGCTCACCATCAGGGTGGTCATGGTAAGAACTGTGGTTATGCCTATAAGAAAGAAACAAAAAAAAAATTAGCGCCTAGGGGGAGCATATCCCCCCAAAAAATATAACACAGAGGCCCTTTCCACTTAGAGTCTAAGAATTTTATTTATGCCAATATCAGGGTTCCAAGTCAAAACACCCATGGTGAACAAAACTCCTAGGCAGGTAGATTCCTCAAAGAATAGTTTTATTTGGATAGATCATACTAGCTGGAGACCCGCGCTTTGCGACAAAACTATGTGATCGGGCAATGCAGGAGAAATCTGGTTCAATCCATTGGCCTAGTGGTAGTCGGTGATTGAAACACATAAGAGTACATTGCTCCCACCGCCTTGAGTCTGGGAGCGGTTCCATGGGTGAAAGGCGTAGACATTTTGGTGAGCTACTGATGTTTAGTACTGTAAGGAGCCCCAGACTGCTCTCAGTGAAGGACTGGAACTTCTGCCAGTTTGAACTGAGCTAACGGAATGTGAGGCAACTGGAAGTTGGAACAGAGTTCTTTTCAGGTGGGGAGGGGGAGTAGAACGCCTTAGCATCAGAGCATGTTAATTAATATATAAGAAATACTAATGAACTGATGGTCGTTTCAAAACATCCCTTAGCGAGGACCTAGAAGCCAAGAGGAACATACGTGACAAACTTCCAAGTTTGTAGGCTTTACGGTTCTAGAGATTCCGTGATGAGTGAGTGGTATTTGGCTCTTACATATATATAGATTGGTACAGTTCTGGGGAAAACTGACTCTGAAGGTTCCTGCGGTTTTCACCTAATTAAAAGTCAAAAGTTTTTCTTCCTCCCCGAACAATTAAAATGGGTAGAACCAACTGGCTTGCATGTTGATCTAGATGGACTAACCATCTGACTTATACAGGGATGTTTTGTCTGAGTTCAACCACCACAATTTATTTATTTAACCAACTTGGCTCAGGATTATTATTTTTTTATTATGTTAGAAGCACAGCGAAGTTAGCTAAGGATGTCTTTGCATGATTTCTACCCCCCCCCCCATCTTTGATCTACTTATGACTAACACTAGTCCAAGGAGACAGAAAATTAGGTAAAGACAAAGGTTCCCCTTGCACATGTGTGCTAGTCGTTCCCGACTCT